AACTTACCTATAGTTAATTAAATCTTGTTTGTATCTTATTTAAAAGACACGTCTACATATTAGCTGTTATATATATATATATATATATACCTTACCTTATGTAAGACGTTGTATGACCTTTTAACTGCTCATTATACTTCATTAGTTATTACTATCATAGATACCTAATAAACACAATAAATTAATATTTTCTGTAAATGGCAGATAGAAGTAGTACAATATAAACTTTTTCTTTGGTTTATACATAAAATTGTGAATTCTTTTGAAATTACACTTTATTGAAAGATATCACTCCATGTATGTTGGTGATATATGTGTGTATAGACTAAAACATAAAATCACAAAATACACTAAAAACCAATTTCATCATAAGCAATATAACATCTGTGAATATTTATGAATATTATGCAAAAAAGCACATCTTACTTTATATGAGATTTCTCTGGACAGCAGGGTCTTAATTTTTGAAAGAAAAAAGTAACGATAGCTCTAGCACACAGGTTCTTACAAAGATTGCATGACTGGTTTTTTCCTAGAAACTAAACTCGTTTTTAATTCACTTAGAAGTCTTGAAAGTTAAGCTGCATATGAAAATAAATAAATAAATACAATATGTTGATTGTGAAATGACTCAACCCATCGATGTAAAAAAAAAGTGGAGTGAAGCAAGAAGAGCATTTGACAGAGCATTGCCACAACAGGAGTGTGAACACCCCTGAGTATCTAATTCCAATATATCTGGCCATTGAACAGTTCTAATGGGAAGAAGGTGACTTAGACTAATCTTTTAAATGCTGTAAAGTTACTTTGTTTGTAATGTATGGTGTGTATTTCCTTTGGTAAACACTTGTTACAGTATTTACCATGTACTGATGTAGTTATGTGTCAGGCATGTGTTATACAAACTTCCTGTACTGTAACTTTGCTAAACACACACTAGTAATGGTAGTGAAAGTTGTACTTTGTATTGTGAAGCCACATACAAGAACATTTGCTAAAATAAACTTGTTTGAAAGATCAAACAAATTGCATTCAAGTACGGTACACACAATACCATATGTGTACTTTCTTACTATCATTTCTACAGTAATGTTCAAATGCATCCATACTAGAGTGAGTGAGAGCAGCTGTGAGATATAATTACTTAGGGCAGTTGTTTGTATCATGGTTTTATGAGCACAATAGACCAAATTATGGGTAGAATCAAACAAACTTCAGATAAAGATGAATGTATTTATGAAATAAGTTTAAAGTAATAAATATATATGTGTGAAATCCTATTTAATAATACAAAATACTTGCATATTGTTTGGGTTTAGTTAGAGTACATGATTTAAAAAATTTGAAATAGACAAAATTTACATTTCATGGAATGATAAAACGTTTTTATAGAGATTTTTAGAATAAGGAACTAAAACATAAAGTAAATGATTCAACTCTGGAACAAATGTAAGTATTTTAATTTTTTCTTACAAAAACCATTTCCTAATGTAAATTCCTAAGATTTTAAGGTTAAAGATGCTTAAATTAAAATACTTTATTTTTCTGAAACTACTTACTTTTAGGAAAGTTCTTGTTAAATTTCAAACAATTTCATCCACTAGTTTTATTTTAGGAAAGAAATATGATGAGAGCAATGTTACCTATTAAAACAATTATTGGCTGGTAGTAATAGGGTTAAGAACAAGTGCAAAAGATTTTGGAAGTTCATCAAGTACTTTACATTACACCAGTTATGCCATGTAGTTGTTAGAATATAGAAAATTCTAATTATCTCTTAATTGTTTTGAGCTGTGTATTTGAATTTTGCTTTCCTTTTGTTTACAGTGAGATTATACCATACAAAATTATGTTTTAAAAATACCTTTATGGTATATAGTCTTTCTCTTTAGCTTTTTTGTATGTTATGCCTAACTCTTAAGATGTAGTACTTTATCAGCATTATCAATGTTAACTAATGTGTTTTATTCACTATTTATTAAAACTACAAAGCACTACAGTTCCATTCCATCTTCTGCAGTTAGGTTTTTCTAGCATTTATGGGTCCAAACGTTTTTTTTGTATAAGGAACCCTATGTGAAATTAAATAGTTTAAATATAGATGATTTATTTTGAGAATATATATATATATATGTTTGTGTGTGTTATATACATATATTTTTGGATTTTATTATAACATACTGGGTTATCAAGATTAAGACTCCTGAATTAAACTTTACAATAAAAAATCAAGTTTTTTTTTGTTATTTTCAATCATTGCTGACTTACCATGTTAATTAAATCTTGTTTGATCTTATTTAAAAGACACGCTACATATTAGTAGAGTAACAAATTTCTCGTATCTTTCAAAGCTGTAAGGTTTTATTATTTATTTAATTTTGCTAGTGTTTAAGTTTTTTCCATAGGTAAAACTAAACTGTTAACAAAGAGAAGTTTCACTTTTGTTTGAGATTCACTATCCATGTTCTAGTTCTGATAGTGTCTCCAGAGCCTAGGATGGTCATTTATATGTCAGTGATAATTTTTCTCCACTTGCATATCTGTGATGAAAATTCAAAAAAGAAGGCTCTTAATAATTTACAATATCTTTGAAATATATATAAATGTGTTTGACACCTAAACTTATCAAGTAAAAATGTTTTGATGGTTACATAAACATATAATGGTATTACATGAAAAATGCAAATTATTAAGTTACTGATAATGACATTCAATTTAGTTAAAAACATAGAAAACTCAATAGGTTATAGTGTTTCGCTTATTAATGATAACAACGTACTTGTGTGGTAGTCACTTAACCATGTTAAGAAATGCATGCACTTTCTGTTTTTCTAAGTTACAAATACATTATGAAATGTAAATATTCTAAATAAAAAAATCTGATGAACTCTGAATGCATGAAAATGCATAACATTGAATCAGAATTCAATGATTCACCCACAAATACATGTTGCTTGGAAGCATGCATGTTTCAAAAACCCATGGGAACTTTCACTTGTACAGGAGGTACGGAAAGGTTTGAGCACTGGTATTCTGATGAGCAAATCCAGTGAAATTAGGTCTTTTTCTGCTCTAGTGCTTATTCTAAAAATTGAATCTTGCTGAACATTACTACTAACTGGAAGAAAGTACGAACTTAATTTTTTTAATTAATCTTAAACACAAACTTATAATTTTCATAGGAGATTTTGTGGATGACCATAAGAAATGTGTTTTTTAATCAATGCAACTATTCGTAGTAAACAAACCAGCATTAACATAAGATCAAAGTTTTTAAAGAAAATTAACTGATGATATTATATGTCATTTGTTGTTTACACATAACAGTTTAGTTTTATGGGTGTTTTTCTCAATTGATGAATGCCAGTGCAATTCTTGCATTTCCTATGAATTATTTTAGGTTTTTTTGTGATTAGTAGTAAATTAGCAAACATTAATAAGTACAATGACATCCCTGATGGGTCAGTTGTAAGTTTATAGATGCCTAGTTCAAAATTCCAGGATTTGATTTCCCACTGTGGAGAAAGCACAGATAAGCATTGTGTAACTTTGTGTTAAAACAACAACAGTAAACACAGTGATATTTGGAAATATTACTGTGCTTACAAATCATTGTTTGTTAATTTGCTAATGTGTTAGCATAATGTACTTCCATATACAAGTGTTTTTGTGGTTGAATGCTATTTGTCTTTGAAAATTTACAATATTCAAATCAATTTTTATAGGCTACCCCAAAGCAACTTGCAGAATGTGTTGACCTGTTGTTACAGTTAAAAGAACCTGCGGAGAACCTTTGTGAAGAGTTTCTGTCTCAGTGAGTTTCAACTATTAATATTTATAATGATAAAGTATTAAATTCTTATCATAAAGCTTTGCTGAACCATGAGGTATTTATGAAGTTCTTAAAGTAATGGTTTAAGAAGTAGAAAATTTCCAAAATAAAGTACAAATATTCTTTTTGCTTCAACAAAGAAATATTTTGCAACAATTCATAAAAAAAAAAATGTTACAAACTATTTATAAACTTTCAGAAAAATAGTATTGTATTTTTTGTAATATTAGGAAACAAAGAAGTATTTCATTCTGAAGCTTTTTGAGTGTTTTAATTTTCTATTCTGTAGTCAAGTTACAACCGATAGAGACTGAATGTTCTCACAAAATTAGAATCTAGAATTTGAAAAGGGTTTGAAGAAAAAAAAGACAATAAATTTTTATAAAATAATCCTATAAAGTTAATACAAGGTTTCACAATGTTTTGATTTTCAACTAGAATAAAGATGCATATTTGTAATGGTGTATTTCAGTCTGTGTTTGATGCTTGTTTGATATATTTTTTACTTTAGTTTCTATTGACATGTATATGTTCGTGAAATTTGTAGAGGAAAATTTTTGCCTTTGAAGTAAAATGATACTCGTCAAAGAATAACAATGGAATTTGAAGATAAAGAGAGAGATTTTTCCATTTTCAATACAAATATTTTGGCAAAAGCTTCAAGATTCTCTTTCATGATATCAATTTTTGAATGTGTTTTCGTTTAGTTCACGGGAAAGACTCAATGTTGACCTTTTGGAGTTGGAAAGACAAGTTAAACTTCAGTGTGGAGAAAACGTTCCAAAACTTGGCGAGCAAGAACGCCCCTCAGACATATACATGAATCTTCCAGTTGTTTGTGTTTTATTTCTCATTTTTCATACAAATATTACTTATTTCTCTTTAAGCTATTAAATCTTAATATATTTGTCTTTTGTACTTGTAACTGAAATATCGTTATTCAGTTATTTTTAATCATACCTCTCTTAAGATATTACCAAAAACTATATGGACTGAAGTTGTTCTTCACTATTATTAGTAAACATACAAGATTGTGAAACAAGTATAACTAAAGCATTCTTTTTATTTTTCCAACGGTAATTTTACAGTAACTTTTTAAAGATATTATACAACAATTACTGATTCCAAGTATTGTTTCTTGGCACTTGTGTATAATGTTAAAATAATAGATAACACGCAATGTTAAAATGTGTACACAAAAGACATTTTTAAATAAGACCAATCTATGGCCTTCAAAGAGTTGAAATCTGTGTGTTTCAACATTACAATGTCATCATCAGTAGTGAATTGCAAGACAGGATAGTGTCATATTTATATCTTTTTTTAACTATAGTATGTTCCACCATAAATAAATCAATTAACTATGCTCATAAGTTGTTTTTTTGCCTACTTATTATTATATTAGCATAAAGTGCTTTTGTTTTATTCAAGTACTATAAGACTGTTATCAGTTTAACTGAATTCTGTTTAATTGTCACAAAAATTTTTTTATGTGCAGCATACTTGGCTTAGTTATTTGTTTTTGCTTCTGATTTTAGGCCATTAAAAGGTCCTGTTTCAGATAGGAAACTTTAACTCCTAACTTTTCTTAAAATTACTCTTATGACTGTGTAATTTGTGGTTTAATGTTTTGTTGTGAACTATTAAAAGTTAAAAATCATACACTTTAGTTATGAATTTTTTGACTAAATCTTATAAAATGTGTATCACTAACATTGCATTTTAAATAACTCTCACAAACATAAGGGATTGTTTACTGTAATAATTGATGTACTGTAAATCACTGATATAAATAACATTTTGACCAATGAGCTCTGTGATATTGAGTAAAATGACTCATCAGAAATGATAAATGTCATACGAGTGTGCAGTGAAGATGATTTTATGCTTTTTTTTTGTACATTTAACCAATAATATAGGGCCACTATAAAAAAAAAATTGTAGACAATTATTTTCTGTTTTATTGTGATGTAATCTCATGCATACTGTTGAGTAGTAGATCACACTTTTCAAGCAAAAGGGTATTATATACCACAATAGCTGATGTATTGTAAATGACTGGTAAAATAGCATTTCAATCAATATTTTGTATGTTGCATTCTCACCTGACTTGTAAGGCATGTAAAAGGGCTTGTTGACAATGGTATCCTCTACAGAAAATGTTAGGTTTAGGTATTTTCTTACTGGAAACTTTTAATGTAAAGCCAGTAAAAGAATATTGTAGAAAATCATTGTAAGGCTTATATGGATATTAATGTCAAAGCAATAAGCTCCAAATTTGATCTGTAAACAATTAAATGTTTTGTGTATGACAGGATATTCTTGAGTTTGTGGACTTAGGATGTAACAATTTCCTCAGCAACATTTGTTTGGTGATTGCATCATACAATGATATGTTTCTTAACCGATTTCCTTGCGAAGAAGAGGAAACGTAAGTGGATGGTTTACTCTTTTATTCTATTTCCCATGACTGAACTAGATTAAAAAACAACCAAATTCAACAGCTTTTTAAACACAAATATCCTTGTGTAAATTGTATCATTAAAAACTAATTTCCTTAAGAATCTAACCATTACTGAAATTGTGAAGCTTTGTGTATTTTGGTATTAGTAAAATAGTTAAATTTATATATGTTTACATAATATTTTGTTTTTGTGCAAGCTGTATGGAAGTATTTGTTACAAATTTTTGAAATTTTTTTTTAAACTTTGTGTTACTTGATCATGTATAATGCAGCCTGATAACATTTTCAAGTTAAAAACACTCCAATAATTTGATGTCTGTTAAAATATTAAAACTTTGTGTTTGTATACTAACATTAGACTATTCATATCTAATTACTCTGTTTTAAGAAAAAATTTTAAGCATGAAGAAATTACTCAAAATTAGACAGAGTTTGTTTTAATAAAAACATACTTTAACAGCAAACTACATTATGATTCAAAAAAATATTAAAAAGTACAATATATGCATGAAACAAAACTTGAAGATAAATCATGAAGCTATTTTGATGGTTAGTCTTATGAAAAAATTTATATTTCATAACAAAAAGGTGAATGACTTTGGGTTGTTTTTTGTAGTTTAAATGTGGTTTTGGGAATTACAAATTTAATTTGATTCTAATACAGTCATCTGATTATGGGGATATGTGGTCCTTACCAAATATCAGTATATATTCGTCTTCAAAAATTAAAAAATGAAATGAAAATTTGTATTTGAAAATTGATAGACATGAATTAGAAGCCTGATGCTTACATTATGATGGAAATAGACGTCATTGAAAGAAACTAAGTTTTATAAATAATTTTTTTTTGTACAGAAAGGTTAACATTACTTATATTTCAGGGAAAAGATGGACAACATGGCCCTAACCAAACTTCATAATTTTGTTATGTCTTTAATGGAACAGTACTTTGGGTATGTGGA